CAACTCACGAGTCGCCGCTAGGACTCAAATTCCCCATGACTTTATTCGAGGCCGTATGAAGGGATGACGCCCATGAACCTTTGGTTGACCTGAAGCATATGGTCGAATTCAGCTCGTGTGGTATGTGGTTTGTCTGGAACGAGTCGTCTCGATGGGTTACTGGCTACTTGGCTGATTATGCGTGACTGCGTGATGAGCGACCTCTGGTGACTGGTGGAGTCTGCAGCTGGTCGTCCAGCCGCGCATATTTGAAGAGCAGGCTCGTCTATTCTGTAGGTGCTTCTGCGATTCCGAATACGAGACTGATTGTCGTTGCATCTTAAGGGATGCCTTCACCCCTAAATAAGTACGGCCGCCTAAAACCTGTGGAGAACATCGACAAAGAATCCAAAATGGTGGAGGAAATCTATACCGCTAATTACGAGGGCACAGTCGCATCCGTCAAAACCCACAAAACATTTCGGCGAAGATTTAGGTCCAAATTCATCATGCGCTCACCGTTTGAAGCTATCGATGAATCGTTAACCGCATGCAGGTTGTTCGTGGGTTTTGAATGCTTACCTTTTGCATTTGTAGGGATGACGGTTCCGCTCCTGTGTCCATAAGGCAAGTGATGCAAACATATCGATCCTTGACGTAAAATGGATTGTCCGTTTTTTACTGGTGGACGCTGTCGACAATGCCCTCTATTGTCTTGCTGTATTCATTCAACTCACTTCCACGCCTATTAAGCAAGAGATTACCACTGGCATCAGCTGTTGCTATGTATTTCGTCTCTCTCATGTTAGTTCGGAGGTCGATATACTGGATTTGGTACTATACAGAGAAGATTAGCTTGGCCCATGCGCAAAGATGATACTCAAAATCGTGAAGCGTTCCATATTTGTCAGCCTTTGGCCGAAAGCATTGCGTGCTTGCGTTATAATCCTGAAGTCGCCGGTTCGAGCCCACTAAGGGCGGGCGATCTTGCGGTATACCCAGCCCTCGCTCGGCTGGCGGTGGTCGCGTGGCAGCAAAACTGCTGCAGTGTACCGCTGATCCCTTTGCTTCTTTTAACTTTTGTATTCTGGATCAGATCAGCTAACAAACAGCACTTACTCATACTCTTTCACCCTCTTCGTATTGATATGTGCCGTGTTTACGAAACGCGCATGACGGATCTTCGACTCCTTGGTTCCGAATCTACCGATAGTAACTACAGTCCTCGCGTCTCTGACAATACTGAGTCCGTGGCTCAAGTCATTTGTGGTGTCGGTATCACCTTCGGCAAGCATGCCGACTGGATTCCGGGGAGTAGCGCCTGTGTGCGGTTCGACCTCGAACCTCTATTTGGGTTAGTAAGCACCATCTGAAGACAAGTTACCACTTCATCGCTTCAGTTTTAGCCCCTCATCTCTCATCCACATAGCGAAGAATGCTGACATCCTGATTGTTGCTGCTGACATGAATGCCTAAGTGATTCTCCTTTCCGACTCCGAACTACACCAAGGAGGTTGCTTCGGTTTCGGTGCACGCCCAATAGATATTGGCGAACGATTTATACAACTACGTGCCGAATACAATCGTCTACATTGCTCTCCATCGCAAACATTCACGCTGTGTGACCTGGTGCCCAGCGAATTCCTCGTGAAAGTTGACCTATATTGCTCATATTGTCAGACGGAGCACATCGGTCCAAGACTGTCAGTCAATTTAGAGCACCTGCCTGGATTCTGACCATACCTTAGTGCGCGCACGCCTGACGCTCTGCTCGCTTCAAAGCAACAGTTAACTTGTAAGCTTCTAATCCGCAACTTGAATTCGCAGTCTGCGGTTTAACTATGTCATTACAAACTGCCCACTGTTTTTCAGTGATGAATGAGATTAGTGAACTGATCGCTGACTGGAATCGTTTTAACTTTGTCATGAATACTTTGGGCACCTGCTGTGCATCCAACTTAACACGTCTTAACTGTGTTTAGATCTATGAAGCACTGATCCGTTTGATTGTAGCAGGCAACCAAGTTCCAATGGGACTCTGAGGGTGTACCATCGGACTGGCGACAGGCAACTGTCGTGCCCATCTTCTAAAAGCCACAATGAACTTTGTGCGAAAATCACCGAGGAATTAGCTTTATTTCTCGGTCATCACTTTGCGACGACTAATTTGTCAATATGAGTGCTGAATCATTCGGAGCCAGGCTGGGTTTTATCTTGATCATGATTAAGCTAACCACTTTTTCAGGTGTTTAAGCAGAGATACAACTACCGACTATGGTGGTTTTTCTAGACTTGAGAACCGTCTTAGACACTGTTGCTCGTACCAGTTTGTGGTACTGTAAATGGCATGCCAAGGTAAGTTCTTTCCACTCTGAACCCCATCATCTTCCTCAATACACATTAGCTGAGTGTGAGCGACGCACTTCGGCTAACTGTGCCGCAATACAAAAGATAAGATATATGCGGAGCGAGTTACTAAATATTACAGACTACAAAAACCAACAAGCAAGTAATATAATGTCATATTATCCATGCAGTGTGAGATTGTTGGAGGGGGAAGATAAACGGCAAGGGGAGGGACAACGCAACTCACAACACGAATGCCACTGAGGTCGGCTCTTGGCCATGTCGACTAGTGTATCCAGCCAAACGGGTTCATCATCCTTGGGACCCCAGCCTGACAGTCGAGATAGCAACCGACGTCAAATTCGAAGTAAGGGAGTTTATTCCTCTTGACTAACTCATTACTTGGTCTTTACTTACATCCATACCCCAGGCGCGCAAACAACGCACAACGCGTGACTCAGTGTCCTGCTATGCACAACACGTGATCCAGTCATCGGAGCCTGATGCGTGATGCAGCGGTGCTAAGTGGTTCACTCGCTGTTCCTGCTTCGAATACGCGACGCCGAACACGCTCATTGCTGACGCAGTGTTCCCACAAGTCATAAGCCGGTTAATGATCTACAGGATGCTGTCTCTTGTTACCCACGATAAGTGGAGTTCACCAGGCTTGTTTTATCTTTTTTTCAGCTTTATGACCAACAACATCATAAACGACTCTGTTTCCTCAATCATTTCCGCCAAGTAAGCAACCAACTCAAATCTTGATTATGGGACACCTTAGCACTACTGAATGTTCTGAAGCGTTGTGCTGCAAGCTTCTTCATGGGCTTTTCTTCTTCAAAGGACACAGAATTGTTACACGACTGAACCAATACGCCATCAATTCTAGCTGTCAACGAACAGCCACTGGAAGTGAATCGTCGGTCCGATTACCTTAATAGTTATGCCAGTTCTGTTAGTAACACCAAATGCCAGGTTTTTTTTGAGCACCCGCCGTGTATCTTAGATTACGACACGCAATCTCAGTTGTGACCTCGCTGGACTTTAAAATCGGCCTCTGTCACTCCGATCACTGAGCCCGTATCCGACCGAAGTAGAGGGTTCCAGTGTTATTCTCTCCCATCACTACACCCCACCACGCGTTTCGTCCTTGCTTGAGCTCATTAGGTAGAGATAACTTTGGCAGGGAGTGGAACTCGGCACATCCAAGTTTGCGGTTATCGTCATGATCACTTGGCCATTATGGTCTGCGAGCAGCGTTTGACACAGCGGTTAGCAATCGAAACTCTCCACTTCGGATACGATCCCAGTGATCGGAATGGTGGAGGCTTACTTCAAAGTCAACCGAAGCCACGATTGAGACTACGTGTCGAAATCGGAAACGTACGGCGGGTGCTCCAAATCCCGACAATTCACTTCTAACCGCTGTGTCAAGCACTGCTCGCGGAACTCAATGGCCTAGTGATCATGGCAACAGTCGCCAACCACGATGTACCGCCTCCCACTCCCAACTCAGGCTATAGCTACTTAATGAGTCCAAATACGGACGAAACGCGCATGGTGTGCTACGACGGTAGATGGCAACACCGTAACCCTACACTTCTGATACGGTCCCAATGATAAGATTACTTCGAGTATCAGAAAGACCTGTGTGACATTACTGACGCGCAACTATATACGGAGATGGCGGCATATCAGCTTGTTAATCAAAGGCAGGGTTTATGTTGCTGCAATAGTGACGATGTTACCGTATGGTTCAGAGTCCTTACCACTACATTTTGAAGATATTAAGAGATTTGTCGTCCTTGATCACCATTTCCTGAGGAGGCCCGCTCACATCTGATGATAACATCGGGTGAGTAGCGTCGAGGTCTGTCAGTTGACATTTGAAACTTACAAGTAACCCCTCTGATACTTTACTGGAGTGTCTGTTAAAGTTGAATCCCCTACGCGTTGCCTAGACCATGTCTTTCTTGTGTCCATTGATCGCATTCCTCGGCATGCGTTATATACAAACGATGCACGAAGTAGTGCCAAACTGTGATGCGGCCACTCAATGAGATGACTTAAAAGAATGAAGAAAATAACCTGGTAAGTTGTTGCATACGGTTTCGGGGATATGACACATCGAGATGTTTGAGTAGTTGTAAGTCCTATCGGACTTGGCGGAGTCGCGTAGTCAGTGGCGCTCCTGCTCTCAGTTGCTCTCATGCAGCAGTTAATATTTCATCCCAATTATTTTTAATTACTTCCACGACTAATGTTATTTGTTCTTGTCCTGGCGACGCCAGTAGCAGAAACTGAATCGATCGCACCTCGACGCCTGGATTTTAGTTGTTGTAGTGAGCTGCACAAGTACGTCCAATGTTCATGTAGTCATATTACTTCGTTGTCACACTGTCTTTGCTACCACTACCACCGGTTACCAATTTCTCCATTCTTACTAATGTCAACATCTATCAGTTCTTCAACGACTGATCGGCTTCCCAGTTAATTTGGTGGTGTGCAATAGCGTTCTAGTGTTGATCTCCTTGGATAAAGTAGGCTTTGCGCACTGAACGGAATACTGATATATACCATCACGGTTAACGTACCATTCTACTCTACCGGTACTATTCTAACTAGACCAGCTTCATCACAAATTTAACGCATTCCAACATTTATCTCCTTATCAGGATGGGTCGAAATCGTTACCGATTTTTACCTTTGGTGCAACTCAAGCCAACCTGGCGGATTTCGTATTTGGTTCCGACTTTTTGAGTTCGAGCAAGGATCTGCTTTATTCCATCAAAGTCCACGACCTCGGGTAAAACTCTTTTTCATAGTAACTGTTCAGTGCATCTGGCTATTTGTTGATTACACGGGTCGTAAGCGATTTAGACAACTGGTAACTTAAAATCTTTTAAATGACCTCTCTCAGGCTTGCTTCTCGAGCGTCTCCTAGGCCTTCTTTGAATAAAAGATCGTCTCCATCGGTTCAGCAACTGGTAAGTTTGCTTTCATCCCTATTATTTTTTTTTTACAGAGCTCTAGGTCAGAAACATCTGTTAAAAACACTGTTGCTGCTTGTCTCCTGATCAACGTCGATGGATGGAGTAGCCAACCTTTTTCCGCAGCTTCCAATAAGACTGCAATTCCATCAACTCGCACCACTCATCGCAGTTTTTCTCATGCGGGATTTGACAACCACCGATCATTAACAGACACTTTAGATACGAACCAACGTTCACATATCTCATTCAATCGGTTTTACCGGATGCTTTTTGAACACTGTGTCCCTCTGAGCATTTTGATCGAATCACTCGCTAGTGATGCCTTTTTAGCTATCTGCAGAGCCCGCCGCAGCCACTTGGGATCCCGTCGGGCGTTGTCAGAATCCCAATGCAGTGAGGCGATATCGTTTGCCTTCTCAAAATTTATGAATTCGTTCAAAGACTTTTTCGCTCCTCGTTTATGCTTTCCAGTCTGGGCAACCTTAAACAATATTGTCGCTTCCACGACGGAAAAAACTGTGCAGCATGTCGACCAGCTTCCCGACGATACTGAGGGCCATTGGTCGAATTCGTTTCTCGACGTCCCGTTGAGGAATTCCACCAATAGCAGTACTCGAGCGATGTACGACGTTTTGGCGGATATCTTCCTTCGATGTTGCTTGTCTCCGCTTGTTTGTCGAGATGGGAAAGAACATCGACAGTACGTATTGCTTACGCAGCATGTGAAAATTTTAACTAATGGTGTTTGCATTGTGCTTAGTCCTATACCTGATCATGTGACAGCGCTGCATCAGAATGTCAGCGATACCGTCTTTCTCTTCCAAAAAACGTCATTTTGTCTGTCGATGATTTGCTTAAGTGGTGTAAACAAACCTGTTGATCTTCTTAGTTCGAATTGCTGCATTCCTTTCCGATAAATGACCTTCCTTAGGTTGTTCTATTTTTACATTTAACTTTACCATTTTGTTCATCGTAGCGTTTACCGTTGTAAAGATCCAGAGTGCAGTCATTGAGACACTACTGGCTGATCCTAATCGCTTGAGCCATGTTTTTCTGTGTGTCAATGACGGTACTACGTAGTCAATCATCTACAAACATTCTGCAGTGATTCGACCATTTGCACTTTGCACCTTAAAAGTGCAAGTCACTGTTGCGGCACCAGTAGTCACATGCTGGCCCCGTGAGTCTTGGCGACAAAGAGCCCGAGGCAGTTGCTATATCCACCTACATTGATGGCTACATTAGCAGTTGTGATCTGCTCACGTATTGCGAATCCTAAATCAGTTTGGGTGGAAATTTTGATATACAAGTCGTGTGATTGGATTGCGACGCGCAGTCTTAATATGGACCGTCATTCGAATTGAAGTGAACCTTGGTCATTGCGATCACTGGGACCGCAGCATCAAACAGATGTTCTTGGATATTGTCCGCACCACTTCTGGCACCAGCGGAAGATTTTCCTTGTCGCTTGATTGCTCTGTTCATAGTAAGTGGCTCTACTCTGCAGAGGACAAACATGGTCTGAATTGCCCTTCAATTTTTTCTCATGGTTGCGCGCGAAGCTTTGCTGGCATCGGTTTGCACCAGTGTCTGGAACGTTTAGCTACGGGTGTGTACCAGTCGAAAACAATCAAATTAGTTCAACCGATCGGCGGATACAATTGGGTAAGACGCGTTAGTCCTGGCACAGGCTGAGTATACGTGCCGTTCTGTTTAGTGAACAGAACGTCGTTTTGTTCGCTTGTCTTATGATGGCATAATGGGGATATGGGGGGTGGGGTGAGGACAGTCGTTAATGTACCAGTGGGGTGGGAAGTCAATGACCACTTTACACATTGAATTCCACGCGATCTACTCTACTCTTCGCTTTAGGATTTCAGAGCACAAAGCTCGTTATTGACACGTTATAGTCGTTTCATAGTTGGATTATCTGCTTTAAGCGTGTATGCCGCCATCCTATCTGTACGTTTTCAGGCTGATTGGGATGCAGGATATCGGAAGCCACCGTTTCTGATCTAACTATTCTCCAGCCACTTTACAAGTGATCATTGTGCTGTCTCCTTTTTATGAATACGACACCCCACCATTTATGACAAGGACACGTGGCTGGATTTTCTGGCGTGTCGATCTCACGTTTAAGGTCTGCAAGCACACCAAATTGGAGCGTATTCCAGCGCTTAGGACTCGGAGAAGTGTGGAATCTTTTGTGCTCCAAAATGATCTTGCTTACCTATCAGATTGTCTCAGTTTTCAGTAGCACACTTTCGATGGTCCGCTAAGATTTGTTTAGAAATGAGATCCCTACGGAACGGATTGAGACAGGTTCAAGCTTATCCGGCCTGCCACAGCTTGTTCTGATCACGAGGCGCCTAGGAACCTATGCATTATTAAAAACGTGTGAAGCGACAACTTTGTGAATTCCGTTCGACTGCACACCATCATCATTCCCTAAAATCTTTTCTCGGATGTCAAATGTAGCACTAGAGTTGACAACGGTGTTCCTGCCTTGTTGTCCTGTCGCAGTGACACTGTATTGCACAACCATGATGCTAGAGCTAATCTACCCGATCCACAGTATTACACTATCTATTCAGTGGCTCCCGTTTATCTCTACATGTGTGCATGATGCATCTTCTATCGTGTCTCTATTGGGATTAAAGGGGAGATGAGCTCGAAGGTTTTCGCCAGGTCTCAATAGTTTGCATCCTTTGTTTCACAAAACCATTTTGTCAGATTTCTTGGTTCTATCATGCATCTGGTCCTCTGCCATCTATTTGGAAAGTGTGTATCGTGAAGAGCGTTTGCCGAGATTAGAACTGGCAAGGTAATGTTAACTACCTGCGAATCTGTTTAACATTAGTTATCTGTGAGATCGCGAAGGTCGTTCTTATGCGTTCTGAAAACACAACATGGAGAACCTGAATGCAATACCGCCCCGCTCAGCATTGGCCCGGGAGAGGATATTCTGGCATTTCAAACCTACTTGCTGCTAGCAAAACTAAAACAACTTATCAAATCCGATGAACGTCTGGACGTTATTTTCGTCAACTTCAATGAAGCATTTGATAATGCCCGCATGATAGGCTCGCCGTCAAGCTTACGGAAATTAGTGTTTTCGTGAGTGTTCTTTCTTGCCGACGCCACAAAGTTTTTTTCTTAGGCTCTTATCTACTCAAAGTTCATCATTAACCTTCCGACTGCGCTTCGCCTAATCATGTGTGCCTCCCACACAGCCAGAATCTAATGATCTAAAGTCCACCATAGAGCACCGTCTCGCTATTACATTTATTACTTTTTTCTAATCAAAAAATAAGCTAAACAATGCTTCTCCCTTCTGCTTTCTACAATTTAATGCATTCACCCCATTGTTTTGGCTGAACGGTTATTCGACATAATCCTGAGATATTGGCGTTTTTGACTGATAAGCTTGGCTCCGATCGGTTTGTTAACAGAGGGGTCTTCTGATGTGTGCCGTCACTTCCCGTTCAGGAATCTGATTGCTCTTCTCACCCAAGCTGCTTCCTCTTTCTACCGCAAGGTAATAGGTCACAGTGAACCAATATTTTTTCAGCACTTTTATCAAACGCACTCCTGAGGCTCATCATTGTCACGTTAGTTAAAGGTGCGTAACATCTCATCAACAACCGTGTATGTACCGTTTGTACAGATGCTTCGCTGCCATACAACATTAATGGCCTACGGAACGAAGAATCATAAGAGGGAGAGGACGTGGACTTTGTGTAACACATAAACGCCATAAGTAAATATTCAGTGTCAAGGCGTCATTTTCATTCATTTCATTTCATTTTCAAGGCGTCTACACCTTGCTAACAACATCAGGTCACAAGCATCTGAATGTCATGGGAAGCTAAGGTGGCATGCACAAGACAGCTTCCTTGTCGTTTACACTGCCCCTCGAAAGTAGCTCCGCATCAGATACAGTTTACACAACTATTATACCGTTATGATTAGTACAAGGGATGCGACCTTAAATATTGCCACATTGAGTGGTTCACTCAGGCGTCTTTCTACACCCGTTCGAACACGTGGGTTAGTTCTTCGCATGTAATCTCACAGCCATCCTTAGATGCTACAGTCACTAGGCGATTCAAACCCATAGTTCCAATATTGCTTGGCACCGGGATTACGTTTCGAACATTCGCTTCATGGGGTATCTCAAAGTATACACGGTCCAGCCTCCATTGTCCGTGCACAAAGCAGCTCAGGAGTAATGGCCATTTGGGCTTTTTACCAGGTGCCAACTGGCATTTTCTACTACGAGTTATGGAATTTACCTTGTCTCTGTTTATTTCCATGGTGTGTGATTTCCTTGGACCGGTAATACCGAATGAAGATCGAGTTTGCGAAAGTCACTCGCCCTCTCTAAGCTTATTAGACCCTTTGATATGCCCAAAAACTTCGTTTTATCTCTTACAGTCTGTTCCATGTAGCGAGGAGTCTTCCGGACTCCTGCAAGTTCTGACCTTTTCACGTCCAATGTGCAGTGTATAATGGCGGTTGGTGCTGCAGGCAAAAATCCCCGCAACGGAAGCATTGAAATTCCATGACCTCAACACATGTAGGTAGAAGCTTTTACGCAACGCTTCCTGTTAAGCTTACCTAACTTTGAGCTGAGGCGGCTTTTCCATTACCGATCAAGGAAATCGTTTGTTCCCCCGGTGAAGTTAAAATAAAACCGATGGCACCTTGGTATGATAAGGATCAGATTTTGGTCGAGGATGAACTCAGGCCACACGAATATTGTTGCGTTATGGTCGTTCTCGGCCCATCACTTGTTGTCTTCCGGGGAGATACAACAATGATTTCTTCTCCCCACTACCGTGCACCAACCGCTTGGTACACACCGCTGAGATATGCACTCAGAGTTAAATCCACCCAACTAGCCTTTTTTAAGACTCAGACGATTGGCTTACATAGTCGTCTTTTCTGCTGCAAGAATTACAGCTGTATCAGCTTGCTTGGACATGGGTCTGTTGACAGTGCAGGAATGACGCTCTTCGTTCACCTGTGAGTTGAAACTAAAAGGCAAGCGACTATTGAAGCAAGGTGGGGGAGGGCCGAGAATCGGGGGGTTGAAAACAAGGGGATAAAGGTAAAGCTGGAACGGGACGATAAGGGTGAAAAAGCGCAAGAAGGGGAATAAGAAGATGGGAAGGCTTGAGCAGTAGCATCCCAATCCCTATCCAACCTGCTCGATGCAGCAGATAGGGCACCGTTGATTATCCTCTGCGGTGGCCAGAGCCTCAGAAATTTGTTTGGGGAAGGATTCATTGTATTGCATGGGCAGGATACTGTCAGGTTGCCCAGGCCTAGACAGGAGAACGATTAGGGTTCTCAACCAAAGCCTTTGGTTCAAAAACCTGACCGTAAGGCAGCGGGTTTGGCACTGGAGTCCGCATTAAGGAATAAGGAGCCACCCTCATTT